CCGGACGGCCGTGCACCCAGACCTGAACGACGTCAAAGGCTTAGCGGGAACAATGCGAGCGCTGTTCCCCCGCGCGAGTGAGAGAGAGAGCCCCGCGAGGACGGGGGGGGGGGGGGGGGTGTAACGGCGCTCGCCCTGAGGTTCGGCAAAAACGTGGAGGTAAATTTGCCAGATCGCACAGAAGGGAGTCAAGGTACACGAGAGAGAGAGAGAGGCGCTCGCCAGCAGGACGCCGGGGTGCTCGCAGACTCTGGCACGGAGAGGACGCGAGCGCCACGCTCGGCCGTTTGGAATCTGTCGCCTCTCCAAACGGGGGCGATGGCTCTGGGCAGCGCGTGCTTTGAGCGAATGGTCTTCTCACGTGGACTCGTGATTGTGTGGACCCGTTGGCTGCGTGTCTGCCCAACGGAGGTGGCGGGTGCCGCTGTCCTGCTCAATTTGCTGGCAAACCAGGAAGAACTCTCCGCACACGTCCGTCAAGAGGTTGTCCGTGAGCAGCGATCGCCCGTGGTCCTCGCTAGCTGCCGTGGGTCGCGACCCCCCTGGCACAGCGCAGAATCAGCCTGTGTCACCAGCTCGGCCCCAACTCAAAGTCTCGGTGGTAACCTTCCGTTATATACGAGGAATGGTGCCAGCGGCCGCTTATGACCAGAGCTCAACATCAAACTTTGAAGTTTCCGTGGCTGCAGTGGGCACATTTTATAATGTGCCTCTGTGGCTGCAGTGGGCAACTCAGGGGCCTAACGTCGATGTGGCCCCCTGCGTGAGAGCGGCACGAGCCCTGGCAGCGTGTGGCTGCGGTCAAAGAGGGCTCGAGGGGAGCCATCGACCCAGCAATGAATATTCACAAATAATTATTTGGCCTTTCACTTGATTAGGCCTAGTCCAAGCAAAGGGGGCCATCGTCAGACTACGCGTGACTGGCTGACGCTAATGAGAGAGCGGCGTAAGCCAGTGCCCATCCAGTAGCCGCGGAGTAAAGAAAATCCAATGCTGGGAAATGGTCCGCGGTCTGTGGCAGCGTCGCCGCCACCTGGGACTGTCACGCGCCTACGAGGGCGCCAGTCGGCGACCACACAGGAGCGCGTGCGGTGCGACGGGTGCCAATTAGTGGGCGGTCAACATCAGCTGACAACGATCAGCAATTGCTGAATGACCCTTGTCCTGAAAAAGCTGCAAACGTCACGTGCAGATATAATGTAGCAACAAAATACAATTTTGACTTGTTTTCTTGACATGGCATGAAAATGTGTTACTTACACGAGAATTATAACAAAGTTCTAACATTCGCGTGAGCCACATCAGGCAAGAGAACCACAAAATCTGCAGTGGGTGGGGGAAGTAAGGTGGCATGGGGCAGGCACACAGCGCACAAAGCGCACAGAGCGCCCGCCCCAAAGAACTCTCTCTGCATCACCTTCCGTGACCCTAACAGGATGCTAATTGTTGGGATTAACGACATGACCGGTGGGCGGCGGAGGCAAGGATGCAGAGAAACCGCACGAATCAAATTTGCCAGAACATTCGCTTCACAACGTTAACGGTTTTGACACGCACCATTTACCTGCCTGTCATAACACTGTCGGGGCCTGCATCCGCTGCACACCCAGTTTCCTGCCACGTGCGATCACAGCCTGACGCTCGCGCTCGACCAAGTCGCAGAAGCAGCCCACGCCACCGGCTTTCCCGCTCCCCACGCAGCGTGACCACGGGCTACCTCGGAGAACCCCTGGGCCCAGCAGCAGTGATTGGGCCCCACTATGGAGGAGTTTGCAACGCACCGCTCTCCGCATGACCATAGATTCGTGGGAAAAGGATATTGCCGAGCTTGTCATAAGCAAATCGGATTTAAGCCATCAGGCTACAGCCCTCGCAGTTAACGATAACCAGGAGTGACTCCGGGCTCTATCCTTGCACTAAAATCCAGCCTCCGGAACGTTCTCTCCTCCGCCTTCCCCTCTCACAGGACCTCCATGTGACCTGTAGTGCGCTGTAGGCCTCTCCTCCATTTTCCTCAGTCACTTGCTGTCCCAGCCATCACCCACATCCTTCTCTAAAACCTCTGGTCGCAGCGTGTGTGTGTGTCCCATCTCACGCTTAGCGTCTTGAGGTGCGTTTACTTGTAGATGTTAAGGTGCTTGATCGCAGAAGATGCATTGCATTTGTTCAAGCAATGCAACCTGGGACCAGTTTTGACTTTTCTGCATCTCATCAGCAAAGGGAGCCACAGTGGCGAGATGTTAAATACCTCGCCTGGAATACAGGAGGTTCGATCCAGACCCTGATGCCTGAATATATTTGGAGTCCATGTCTCTCTATCTCCTCGTGGTCGTGTGGATTTTTCTCTGGGCCCTCAGATTTTTCCCTCCACGCTTAGATTCAAGAGAGTATTTGGCTGCTATAAATTTCCCCATGATAAGCCACTTCGTTGAGCTATCATTTGTGGGCAGGTTACTTCTGAAAAAGAGCTACATAGTTCAGTGGGCCCTACCTGGAAACATAAAAAGAGTTTATAGTATCCTTGATTATATTTTTGGTTGATGTAATTTGCTAAACCGCCCCTACTGGACAGGTGTAAAAAATAACTTCACAGTTCAGACTCCTCCAATATAAATAAACATTCTGGTTCTGTTATTACTGTAATACTTAAGCAAAAAAAAAACAATAAAAATGCATTGAAAAGAATCACAAAAAGTGAATTCAGTGAAAAGAAACATTATCAGAGGCACGGTCTTCTGCGGAATGCACGATCAAATATAGTGACATAGCTCGACTGGCAGAGCAAGGGACACCTAGCTGTGAGATTGTGAGTTCACATTCCGGCCAGGGTTCATCGAGCCCACTGCGCAGTGGGCCATAGGTGTTAAAAAAAAAACGTGTTTAGTTTAGGTTTATTTTAAAGTGTGACCTGCTAACCCAAAGTTACAAACTCCATCCAAAGAAGCAGCATTTACAGAAGCGGAGAGGAAATTCCCCGCGCGAGTGTGAACGGCGCGCGTTCCGCTTCACTGACGGGGACACGGGCAGCGTGCACCGCGTTCGGAGCCACGCCTCATTGGGGAAGCTGAATGACGGCAGAGGACGAGGGCGAGGAGGTGCGAGTGTCGCGCACAAGGCGAGGTGTGTGACGAACGCGACGGCGCATGCGCACACTCCCGTCCGTTATTGGTGTCAACGATCCATCCGTTGTTGGCTTGAAAACAGGCGCGCGCACGCACGGCACGCAACGCAACAACGCAAATGGAAGTGGGCAGACGTCCCAAAGCGGAAACATTTCCTGCAACATACTCGGCTGGGGTTACAACGCAGCAGCAGCAGCAGTCATCCCCAACTGCGAAAACTTGTCAGGACCCTCATTAAAAACGTTGAGGACCCGGTGAGGCTTTCCTGGGTAAACAAGGGTCAATACTAATAATAATAGGATATCTGAGGAAATCCAAGCCAACTCCGCTCAGGCACCGCAACGCTGCTCGATCAGTGCCACGGAAGGTGTGCCCCTGTATTACTGAGCATATGTTTGGAGATCGTAGGTTCGATCCCGACCCTGACGCCTGTATATATATGGAGTTTGTGTGTTCTCCCCGTGGTCGATTGAATTTTTAACGGGGTCCTCCGGATTTTCCCTCCACATTTAGAAGAATCAACATCACGTGTTTAAGAGCATTTCGCTGATAGAAATGTCCACGTGATGAGCCCCTTTTTGTGGAGCTATCATTTGTGGCCAGGTTGCTTCTGAAAAAGAGATACATAAAGCTCAGCGGGCTTTACCTGGTAAAATAAAATAAAAAGTTTTGAACAGTTTATAGTTTAGTATAGAATTGCGCGTTAAATGGTCCGCGCGCGGTGACACGGGAGCACGATCGTGCCAGCCGGCGCACCGTGCGACCGTCCCCCGCTTTTGTTGCCGACCAGAGTGCAGCTCTTCACATCTGCTCCGTAAGAATCGGGGGTTTGGCACCGATGTAGGTCACACACACGTTTTGAATTGGTGCTTTTATAAGTATATATATATTTTTTTTAATAAAAAAAACATTAATGTGGTTTCCATCATCGCCATGCGGTGTCGAGACGAGGTGGAGAGCGGCCAAGCCGCAGAGTGCATTCCCCCCCAAACGCGAGATTTTAACACCTCCAGCACGGCCGCACCCCAAAAATAAAAAATAAAACGTTGGGAGTGAGCACAGGCAGGAACGAGTGGAATGCAGCGAACGCCGGGTGAACGTTTTAACGCTCATTTAAAAAAAAAAAATCCTGATTCGTGGCGAGGCCTTCCCCTCCATAAATCAGCAACGTCAAGGACGCGCATTGTCGCTGGGTGTGCCCCCCACCCCTGGATATTATTATGACAGAAACAAAGCCGCATTTTAAAACTTAGATTTTTTTTTTTCAACTCACATGAAAGAATGATTCGCGGTTTGAAGTAGAAATCCAGCTGCGCTTTTGGTCAACTGAGCTTTTGAAGTTAAAACGCTTAAAAAAGTACACATTTCATGAGCAAAAAGCTTCTAATCGTGCTGCTTTGTGAAAGAACGCCTTTAGAAGTGGATGTACATCGACAATCAGGATTTCCAACTTGCGACACGGTTTAACATCTCAAAACAAAAACCGGACTACAATATACGGCCACCTCTACAGCGACGGGTCAGAGTTCGCTCACTTGTGTTTAACAGCATATACAGTCGACAAATTCTCACAAGTAGACAGTAATACACTCAACGCACAAGCAAGCACGGTGACACACACACGCAGGGGGAACAAACACACAGGAGAACAAACACCAAGGCAATAATGGGAACAATCCCCCCCCCCACTGTGGTCAAGGTATATTGCCCGAGGACCATGGTGGTACAAGGCCAAACATGTCCATCAAGCAGCGGTAATTTCCTTCAATAAACAACGTCGTTCAATCGTGCGAGCACGAGTTCTGTTCAGCGCGCACGTGGGCCCGGGCCCGCAACTCGCCGTCGTCATCATCACGCAAGGCGCCCTCGCTCACTCACCGGTCTCGGGGTGGATGGAGAACACGCCCAGGCCGCTGCCATCGCGGACGGAGTAGCGCACCTCTCCGTCCCGACCGGTGTCGCCGTCCCGCGCCGACACCGTCAGCACCTCGGTGCCGATCGCCACGTCCTCGCGCACGGACGCCCGGGCCACAAAGCTCGGGAACTCGGGGGCGTGCAGGTTCTCGTTGACGTCCACCACCTCCACGACGAGCGAGCACGTGGCGGAGAGCGACGCGGGCCGCCCCTTGTCCTTGGCGCGCGCCGTCAGGTCGTAGAGCTCGCGGCTCTCGAAGTCGAGCTCGCGTGCCAGCCGCACGACACCCGACAGCTTGTCCACCTCGAAGGCGCCGTCGCCGTCGTCCGGCAGCGAGTAGCGGGCTTGCCCGTTCGCGCCCAGGTCGGCGTCGCGCGTCTCCAGCCACGCCACCACGGTGCCCGGCGGCAGGTCCTCGCGCACGCGCACCTTCGAGTTCGGCGGCACGAACTCGGGCGGATTGTCGTTGACGTCCTCCAGGAAGACCGCCACCGTCGCCGTGGAGGAGAGGCGCGGGTCCAGCTCGGCGCGGTCGCTCGCCTCCACCGTCAGGTGGTGGACGCTCACCGTCTCCCTGTCCAGAGGGCCCACGACCCGCACCACCCCGCTCTCGCCGTCGATCTCGAACTGCTCGTTGTAGGTGAGGAGACGGTAGCTCACCCTCCCGTTGTCCCCGACGTCCCTGTCCACGGCTTCCACCTGGATGACCTGTTTTCCTTGCTCGGCATTTTCAGGGATCGTGACCGAGTACGCCGGCTGGAGGAATTCGGGAGGGTTGTCGTTCACATCCAAAACCTTGACCAGCAAAAGCCTCCACGATGACTTTTGCACAATTCCGAGGTCGTAAGCCGTGATGTTGAGCGTGTGAGCGTCGCTCTGCTCCCGGTCCAGGGGCAAGAGCACTTTGACGCGCCCCGTGTCGCCCTCGATGGAGAAGCAGCTGTGGTCGTTGCCACCGGAGATGACGTACACCACCTTGCCGTCGAAGCCGCTGTCCGAGTCCGTGGCCGTGACCGTGGCGACCGTGGCCCCCACCGCCAGGTCCTCGGGCACGCTCACCGGAGACGGGAACCCCTCGCCAAACTCGGGCGCGTGCCAGTTCACGCCGTGGACGTCGCCGAAGGCCTCCGCGTCGAGGCGGCCGCCCCGGTAGCGGCCGGTCCGCAGCAGCTTCTCGGCGAGCGCCTTGGCCGCGCCCGTTTCCTGGCACCGCAGGGTCAGGACGCCGCCTTCGCCGGCCACGGTGAGGTTGATGAACATGGGTCCGGCGGCGTTCTCTCCATCGGTGGCTCGGATGCGCAGGCTGTAGCTGCCGTGGCCGGCCGCGTCCGTCAGCGGCCGCCGCAGCGACACCACCCCTGACGACGGGTCCAGCGCGAACGTGTCCGGCTCGTTTCCGGAAACGAACTCGTAGCGGATCAGCTGCATCTCGTCGGCGTCGATGGCCGACACCGTGGCAACATGCTCACCCACCTCGAGGTCCCGGGGGACGGTGCCGACGCAGGCTACGCGCTCGAACGCCGGCCGGTTGTCGTTGAGGTTGCCGACGGCGACCGTGACCAGCGTCTCCGCCTCGTGGCGGTACGGCGAGCCCCAGTCGGAGGCGCGCACGCGCAGCGAGTAGACGCGCGACATCACCTCGTAGTCCAGCTCGTCGGCCGTGCTGATGACCCCCGTGAAGGGGTCGATGGAGAAGGGCAGCGGCTCCTGATTGGCGATGCTGTAGGTCACGTAGCCGTTGTCGCCGGTGTCCAGGTCGGTGGCGAGCACCCTGACGACGCTGCTGCCCACGGGGACGTTCTCGTTGACGACCGCCTTGTACGACGAGTGCTTGAACGTCGGCAGGTGGTTGTTCTCGTCCTTCACCTTGACCACGACCCTCGCGGAAGCGAGCCCGGCATTGGTCGTCACCTCCAGCTCGAAGACTTCCGCTCGCAGGACGTCGAGCGGGGCGGCGCAGGTGACGAGCCCGGTGCGGGCGTTGATCTCGAACCTGGCGCTGTCGCTGCTCGCCTTCAAGTGGTAGCGGAGCTTCGGGTTGTGGGGCGCGGCCCGGACGAGGGCAACCTGGCTGCCCGGCGGCGCAAACTCGCTCAGGTGCACCTTGTGCTCGCTCTTCTCGAAGCGAGCGTCGAGCCCGTGACCCCGGGGGCCCCGCAGGGTTACCACCTTGCCCGGGGAGAAGCGCGGCGGCTGCCCGCGATCCTTGGCCTGCACGGTGAGGTTGCGCCCGTGGGGGCGGCCGTCCCAGTCCACCTCCCCGTCCGCCTGGATCCAGTACTCGTGCGCCCCGGGCGCCTTCACCACACGAAACTCCCCGAGCGGGTCGCCCGCCACGACGGCCACCGACGCGATCTCCCCGGCCTGGCCCGCGTCCTCGTCCGTCACCGTCAGCACGGCGTAGGTGGCGCCCCCGGCGGCGGCGGCGGCGGACGACGGCGCGAGGGCGGCGGCGGCCGACACGGCGGGGGAGTGCTCGTTGCGGCGCTCGACGCGGACCGTGAGGCGCGCCGCGCTGCTCGCGCCGCCGCTGCCGTACAGCTTCGTGCCGCGGTCGACCGCCAGCACCTCCAGGTTGTACGCCCTGACTTCGGGGTCCAGGCGGCCCGTGAGCATCACCACGCCCGTGGTGGGGTGGACGGCGAACAAGTCCGTCCTCTCCCCGAGGCTGAAGTAGAACTCGCCGTTGGTGCCGACGTCGGCGTCCGTGGCCGTCACCCTGGCGACGGTGGTGCGCAGCGGGGCGTTCTCCCCGACGGTCGCCGAGTACGAGGTCGGAGAGAAGAGCGGGCGCAAGTCGTTGGTGTCCAGCACCTGCACGAGGACCTTGGTCCAGGCCTCCAGGTTCTCGCTCCTCACCGTGGCCTTCACCGTGAGCAGGTGCCGGTCGCTCACCTCGCGGTTCAGCATGGCCGCGTTCCCGCCCTTGGTTCGGATTCGCAGGAAGCAGAAGTCTCCCACCGTGTATTCCTCCACCTTGAAGAAGTGGTCGTCGTCGCCGGACACGACCTTGTACTTGACGTCCCAGGAGCCATCGCCGAGCGGGACGCCCATCATCTCGCGGCTCTCCACGTACGTTTTGACGGCGGAGTTCTCGTAGATGGTGGCGTTGTAGACGGGCCGCGTGAACTGGAGGCGCAGGGGAACCGCGGAGCCGGCCACCTCCGCGGGCCACGCCACGCCGAGCGCCGCCAGCCAAGAGAGGAGCAGCACGTGCATCGCCGGCCCCCGCGCCATCGCCGCAACCCCGGCAGGTCGCCTCACCGCCAGCGCCTGCGGAAACAAATGCGCCGTGAGACGCGGCCACCCGAATACGCTCGCATCTCGCGGATTAACACGTAGCTACTCGCCATGTAGGGAATACAGATTAACGTGTCATTTAATTAGGACAACAAAAGATTAAACATATTCCCCTGACTTTGCGTCGGCCTGAGTCTATTATTTTTGCAAGGTCAGGCAGGGTACTGATGGATTTGGAGTATTCATTATCATTCCTCCCATAGGCAGCATAACTTGCAGTCCTTTTGTCAATCCAACGCTGGGTGAAGGCCTCGCCATGCTGAGTCGGTCGTGGTGGTTGTTTGACCACACTTCACCAAGCTGGTCATTGTGGGTTGGAGAAGGCAGCAGGAGGAGGACAGGATTAGTTCTAATTACACTCACCACTGATGTTAGGTTTGGCCAGGAATCAAACTAACATGTTGGGGGTTCTAGTGCCAAACCACTCATCCACCATTCAACACACACGCGCACACACAGTATATATATGTGTGCACGCGGGGTTTATATATGCGTGCCACCACAACGACGGTTTTCGAGAGGGCCGCCTGCGAGCGGCGTGCAGCATCATCCCACGAGATTCCCTGTGGTCCGTATGAAGCCGGAAGGGTGGGGGGGGAGGCCGTGGGGTTGTGACAAACGAGGGATTCGCACCGGGCGGGAAATCCGCGCGGAGGCGCTCCCCCGGCTCCACCGGGCACGGCGCCCGTGCGCTCACAACTACGGCGGCCGCTTGTAGCGGCGCCCCACCATTGGCGATGCAACGTCCAACTCTTGGATATCCGTGGAAAAGAGCTTTACAGCTCATCGGATTCCTCCAGTATAAATAAATATTCTGATTCAGATTCAACAAACGGTCATCACACGTTCGTCGGTAACACCGTGTGTGGGGCCGCAATTGAAACAAATGTAAAGCAGGCAACGTCTTGGTCGCAGGAATCCATAGCACGTAGCATACACAAACAATAAAATCGGATGCATGTGCCACGAGCACAACAATCAATATGAATCAATGAATCCATGCGCCACCACCGCCTCTACCGCTCAGCACTGCGGAGGTAATGAGATTTAGATGGGGAGCTGTTACGGCGGCTCAGTCCAATCGATTTGCTTGCATAAATGAGAGCGCTGCGACGGCTCCCTCGTCGTTACAATCGTTCAGCTGTTCCCCCACAAACTGAAGCGCCCCCACACCAGGTGACGAACGTAACGTGTCGGATCGCGCCCGGCTCCCGCGGGCCAGCGTGTCGCGGTGGGAGGCGGTGCCCCGCGCTGTGTCAACTCATTCCTCATTCACTCGATCCGCACGGGGAACGCGACAATGGCTGCCCTGGCAGGACGCGCCACCTGTTCCCATTCACCCAGAGCCGCGTGCTCTGTCAGCACAAAGGCACTCTCACAGCCTGTGCAGACCGGGTCACAGACAGAGACAAATATTCCCCCGTGAAGCTTTGACAAACTTTTGGGACAAGCGCTGTTAAGCGAGCACCGAAGAAGGCCGGCATGGGACACGAGGGGGTGGATTGCTAACAGCACGCCCGGCCGCCTTTGTCTCCCCAGTGCCGATGTAGGCCGAGTCGACCTAAGGGGAGGGCCCAGGTCCAGTTCAGAGATTTGTCACCGATGTTCGCTGTGAGCGGGAATTGAACTCTGGTCGCTCGGTTCGTAGCGCAGTGGCGCTAACCACTGAACTAGCGCTCCCCACAAGCGGATCACACGCACCCACGCACGCTGCACAAAACTCCCCCGAGTCTCACACCTGGCCTCTCGCGCCGTTCAGATACCAGGGATGTTAACATGGGAGATGGACGGAACACGAACCCACAAATCAGATAAACACCAGCACTTATGCGCTAATGGCAGACGTACAAAACTCTTACGGACCCCTTTCTTCGTGAATCTACGCAGGAAGAAGAGAACCCCACCAACGGACCTCCCGCTGAGGCCCTCGCCGGATGACGGCAACGTTTTAAATTTGCGGCCGTGCCATGCGACACGGTCGCTGCGCAATGCCAAAGTGATTGCGGTAATTAGCGGGCGTGCGTTTCTTGTTTTGCGAAGGCTGTTAAATATATGAGCATGGTGGCATGCTATGTTAACGCACTTCGGTGCACTTACAGGGCTCCGTAAGTGCAACAAAAGACAAGCCATAATGGGGTCGGAAATACGAAATTGCAGATGAGAGCAGTGTCGAGTCAGCACAACTTCCAAATTGTACGGGAAAAACACGTAATTTGTATCATTTTTTATTTAAACTTGTTTACTCATAAAAGTCTGAGTCTCAAGACTCTTTTTCAGGACCATCCTGCCAAGTTTTCGCAATAGGGGGGCGATAACTGATGTGCGAGTAAGCCGACTTGCAGAATATCTAGTTCAGGACCCCCGATGATATGTGCCAAGATGGAAACACCCAAGGCGGGCTTGTTGATTCATCTCACGAGCCATGAGATCAGCCAAGAGCTCAGAGCGTGGAGACCTGCCGGTGCTGCACAATTGGTCACCCTGCACCACCCATGGAGACCGGTGGGTAAGACCTGGGGGAGGACCAACAGCAGCCCCCTCAACTAAACAGGTCACAGCGGCTCACGAAAAGTTCCGCTCTCGGCCAGGTGGATCAGGAGGGCCCACTGCATCTGACAATCAAGTACAACTTGACAGTGGCACTACAATGGATAACCGCAGGCTTGCACAGTGCATACATACAGCAGCTTAGTAGCCCCATGTCCGCACAACCAAACAAACGCACTCCAATGGACATGGGGCTTTTGCAATGGACGGGTGATGGTGGCGGGCGTGTCGTGGCGCGCACGCTAACGGAAACACCGGCGCAGTGCCCGGGGCTAGAAAAACTCGGGCGAGCGTGGGCGGGCGCTCCTCCACCGCTCCACCGACCACCAGTGCCTCTCCCCCATCGCACGCTCCTACGCACACCCCACACACCCCACCGCAAAATCCATACCGTCAAACACGCTTGAGAAATTTTCTCATAGAAAAAAAATGCTGCGGACGACAACGCGGGCAGGAAACAGCGTGTCACTTTTCACGCTGAACCACCAGTTAAAATAAATGGAATGGAACATGAATCACGCTTGACATTTTTAATCAATGTTTAATTATTGACTCACTTACCCTGTTTCTGTCAGTAAAAAGGCAATCAAGGGAGGGGAATGTCCCACACGGCAAGTTATACCGAACCAAGCCGGCGATCAAACTCATCGTGGAGCAGTGGGCAGGCTCTGTGTGTCTGGTGCTCCGCTTTCACCCAGTCTCTAGTTTAACAACGCAAGCGTTAACCGCGGCGGTGCAGCGGTTTAACGCACAAAACTGCAAACTTGGTGACCCGAGTTCGATCCCAGCCAAGGTTGACGTCAGTGGCGAGTGAGATCCGAACCGATTCCCTGTTCCCCCCTTCCCCAACCCGCACTGCCGAGCGTGGTGAAGTATGGTCAACAACCCCTATGACTGACATAGCGTGGGGAGGCCTTCATCCAGAAATGGATTTACAAAAGTTGTGGATTGTTAATATTTACAAAAATAATGAGAATCTTTATTCTAGAGAAATCCAATGAGCAATGGAATCTCTTTTCACAGATGTCCAAACATGATCATGGCCACAATAGCGCAGCTAACCACTGTTTTTTGCACATCAATCTCAACATCTAATGGCTATCACGGCGAATGCTGATACGACCCCAACACACCGACACCCGAGACCCAAAATCCGGGCCGAGCTTTCCCGTTTGCTACCAGGAGCCACCACACGACCCACCTCCACCAACCGCTCCTCCCGATTCAGTAAACTCCAGAACTGTTTCTTGCAATGCCCTGTTCTAGACTCGAGACATTGCTGACCCCATCTGCTCCCCAATACGTAGCATGCTCAGCATGTGCCGATGCCCAAAAGCCAGAAGCTTTGTAGACCCTTTGTTAGGGTCCAACTAACAGTAACTATGCAACTGTACGTATCGTTACAAACATTCACGTCTTAACAACACAAATATTACCTCTACTTTCGTTCTAAGAGGAGCGTTACAGAAATTACGATTACAAATCCATCATCAACTACGCGCTGGTAGATGCTATCCGTAAGTGTCCACGTAAGGGTGGGGGGGGGGGATTCGGGGACGAGGAGTTTGTTTTTAGCGGAGCAGCGACTCGCTTGTGCAAGACGCACGGCCTCCCTGCACCCTGCCGTCACCACCTCCGCCACCGCCGCCACGCTCGCCGCGCACGGCGTGGAGCTCTGCCGGGGGAGAGCGGGAGTAGCGGGATAAGCGTGCGAACGCACACGCTCCGCTGCCGGTGGGACTCCCCCGTCGGACTCTCACGGTAACACGAAGCTCCGCTTCCCGCGGCATAATAAGTCCATCTCGGGTGTCTCGCCGCCTCGTCCGCTTGCCACCGAAGCGGCTCCCACGACGACGGCAACGGGCAGCCACTCCTTACGTCGCGGCACGGCCACGTAGCTACGCCGCCGCTGCGCGAGAGAGTTGGGCGACCTCCGTGACTTGGGCGGCATGGCGGCGGTTCGAATGCCGACTCGGGTGGCCTTTCTGTGCGGAGTTTGAATGCTCTTCCCCTGTTCTGCGCATGGGTTTCTTCTGGATTTTGCGGCTTCTTTCTCGAGCTAAAACAAATCATGCAATGTAACTGGCATTGGTTGAAACATCCCAATGCAGAATAGCTACAGTGAGGGGACAAAAGTATTTGATCCCCTGCTGATTTTGTACGTTTGCCCACTGACATAGAAATGATCAGTCTATAATTTTAATGGTAGGTTTATTTGAACAGTGATAGACAGAATAACAAGAAAATCCAGAAAAACGCATGTCAAAAATGTTATAAATGATTGGCATTTTAATGAGAGAAATAAGTATTTGACCCCCTCTCAATCAGAAAGATTTCTGGCTCCCGGTGTCCTTTTATACAGGTAACGAGCTGAGATTAGGAGCACTCTCTTTAAGAGTGTGCTCCAAATCTCAGCTCGTTACCTG